CCTCAGTGTCTTCCAAGTCTGTGAATATCTAGTAGCTACCTAGCGTTGGCAGCCCTCATGCCGGACCCTCTCTGTGTTTCCAATGAGATAGAAAGTCTTGCAGAGTAGAACTGTCTTCACCCTTTGTGCAGGCCAGCACGGCTTCCTGGGGGGTCTTCTAGCATGATCCTGTGACCTGTACCTTATCTCTAACCGCAAGTCAAACTCCATACTCCATGCATAACTATCGGTACCTCAACCCCCTAATAACATCAAAATAAAAGGTTGACTGTGCCTATAAGCATGAGGCCAGACCCTCTAATCTCCCTGAATATCTCATCATTGACTCCATGGGTCCAAATTCTATTCACATTTTTTCCATGAGACACTAATAGCAGCCACTCACGTTTGCCAAGTTCACTCTTCAAGGACAAATGACTGTTCTGGAAAGAGCCAGAAAGCTCCTAAGAATTTAATCATGGGCAACGAACCAGAAGACTTCCCTTAAGGGCAGTCACCTAAGAGAGCTTTGCTTGCCCTAATTCTGCAAAAACCACCATATTAACCTGTTGATTTCAAATAGTGTTCAGTGCATATTTAAATCGTCTCCCTGGGGACACGGAGGCATACTGATAAACACTGGTAAACACAATTCCTGAACCCGAGCCAAAAACACACAGTGTTTGAAAGACATATTTGGAAAATTCTAAGTGGAAGGTACTGGCCTGTATCTAAGAGAATCGAATATGCATCTTCCGTCTGAAGCAAAGGTGGTCCCATGAATCTAAGTAATGTGCAGGGTCTGCAAGCATCCCACTTGTAGAACACAGGACAGGGCAGACAAACAGGCGTTGGTGGACTCCATTTCTTCCTGGGGCAATGAAGAAGGTAATATGCTCTTTTGAGTGAAGAACTTATTGATCTAACGGTTTGCTGGGAAAATTCAGACTCTCTTTCTTGAAGCCTGAGCAAGTCACCACCATCCTGCAGACCTTAGTGTCTCTTCTTTGATGCAACCAATAAGCTGGGCTCAGAGATTTAAGGCGGTGTTTGGGGGTGGTTTGCGACAGGATGAAGCTATAGCCCTTCCAGGAGTTCGGGACAATTAAGTCAGGCACAGCATTTTGGGGTTGTCAGTATTTCTGAGGCTGCCTGTCACTTGCATCATCTTTGGGTTCTTGCTGCTGTTTCTAAGATTTATTTTGTTTTTAATTACTTGTGACTGCATGTATGTGTGTCTGTCTGGGTACAGGTCTGTCTACATGAGTCCAGGTGCCTCTAGAGGCCAGAGGCAGCGAAATTCCTTTAGGACTGGAGTTAGATGCAGTTGTGAGCCAACCAAACTCATAATCTCTACAAAAGAGGTAAATGTCCTTACCACTGAGGTAACTGGACAATTACCACAGTGAAGATGGCTCAGGCTCTTCAAGGCTGGAGCCTGGAATGTGTGCCAGGACTCCTGTGACTTCAGTCAACTTTCGAGTACTGTTGACTTTTCCAAGACTCTCACACATGGATTGTTTCCTCTACTTTCTTTTCCTTTGAAGACTTTTCTTGTTCATAGTCGGCTTTGTTTTTCCAGTGTCCACACCCTACTTTTCCATTTTCAAAGTACATTGCCCAGAAAGCCACCCTTCCAAAGCAGAGCTAACATTCATGAATCATACGTGCTCCAGGAGAAAGAGTAGGCCAGGGGTGGGAGTGGGCTGGAGGAGATGCTCCTTCTTTTGCTTATGGTTTTTGCCTGTATCCCCACAATCTGCCTTTTCTCCACCCAGCAGGTGGGGATGAGCTTATTTGAAAAGACAGATCGAGGTCTTGATGCGAGGCTTGAGGAAAAGTGGGAAAGGACTATCGACCTTCCTTTGAACGCCCGGGTTTGCCCTATCCTTGGACATTACATAAGCCAAGCTGGAATAGCTTTGGGTTGACGTTGGAACCTTACGGGTCAGTTTAGGTCTAGGGACCAAAATCCTAAGGTAGCTGGCTTCACAGTGGCTTTCCTAAAGTAGGTCAGGACTTAGAGCCAAGAACACTGAATTTCCAAACATTCTGTACCCTGAGACCTTACCAGGCATTTCAAAGCCTATAACCCCACCTGAAAAGGGAAGGGAGAAGTAATGAATGGGGGTCCTGGGGTCTCATGGAACCCAGATATGAATCCCAGCTCTGCATACACCAGGGTTTTGCCCAGTGCTTCCCAACAGGGGACGTTGAAGGATGTCATGGGTCTCAGATCTTGATCTCTGTGGCTCCAAAGGTCAGTGAGGACTTAAGGTAGCAGGCTCAACAGCTCCATACACAGGAAACCTTACAAACACCACCATGCCCCATGAAGCCAAACAGGAGAAACTCTGGAAACTTTGGCTCAACCTCATTTTAACTCACCCCTGAGGGGGCCCAAGCAGCTGCAGCATTCTTGCGAGAAATGATCCCCTGGACTGCTAGCTTGGGGCTGACTCAGACAAGGGAGGGTAAACATTGTAACAAAGAGCCTCAAGCATTCAACAGCAGCTCTGTGACTTCAGGCTTTATCAACCTTACATTGTCACATGAAGTCATTCCTATGTCCTGCAGGGCCACTGAGGAGTTAGTACTCGGAAACCAAGCTGACTCTAGCTCCAACAGAATGCTTCACTTAAAGCCCAAGCACCCAACGGTAAAGAAATTCTGTTGCACCTTTTCCCCAGACAACCTTGCGTTCCAGTGCAGTAGAATAGATGAGAGGCTCCTACAAAGCAGGAACACGGCCCAACATGCGCCATGCTCCAGCTCTCTGAAGCTGCGACCCAGACGGAGATACAAAGAGTAAGGAAAAAGCTCATTGCCTTTCAAAGCCTACTCACTCCTCAGCTGAGCTTTGGGGACCTTGCCAGATCTTAGGCTTTACTTCATTCTTCTATATTTCCTGCTAGAATCAATCAGCCGCTAGATCTTAAGGAGTCTGTCTCTTAGTGACCTCCTACCTGGGTTCCCAGTCCACCTTGTACCAAAAACCCTCCTTTCTACTACTAGACTCTTGGCATTCCACGGCTTTGTAGATACACTGAGCTCCTCATCACCTCCTGCGAGGCCCTGTCCCATGCACCCTGTGACTCTCCTTGTCTTACATTGCCCATTCACTCTCAGCCCCAATGCTGCAACACTAGCTTAATGCCCCCTGCACGTGCTATGCCTATATCCTTATTCCTTATTCTCGAATGTTCCTTCTCTTGCCCCCATCAGGCACCATCCTATCTAGCTAAGGTTTTTAGGATCGTGTTATTTTGAAGTCTTCTCTTGATAGTGTAGAGTGTACTGCACTTGCCCTCAGCTGTGGTTCCAAGACTGCCCTGCTGTGCAGAAGCCTCAGACCATCCCTGTGTTTCTACTGCAGACATCACACATGTAACCTAGACTGCAAGGGGCAGGTCTCTACAGCATGTGTCCGGCCATGCAGTGTTGTCCCAAGACCTAGCACAATTCCCAAAACAGTCGAAATTTTCCTATTATACGCTTATGGAAACACATGAATATTTAAGATATCAGGCATAATATTAATATTTGTACAAGAATGGAAAAAAAGATGTGTCATCGAAAGTCTGTTTGACGAAAGAGGAAGGAAAATCAAATGTGGGTTAAGTGAGAATCAAAGTTCTGGAACATACAGTCCTCCCAGAGAAAGTTCTGTAAGAAAAGTTGGGAGGGGGCATCTGTCCATAGATACCCCAGGGCAGAGAAAGGCAAAACAGGTGAGTCACAGCTGGATCTTTGGGACCTCACATAAATCTGTAACCTAGTATGGAAAAACACCTGGCAGAGAAAGGGAAAGAGACATGCATGGGGGATTCTGACTCTCAGGTCCCCAGAGCAGAGCATGTGTGGGCATCAGAAGCATCTTATGTCACGATTGCTTTTAAGACTTCGTCCACGCAAACCAAAAGCCACCCCCAGCACAAAGGTGCAAGGCTCCATTGTGAGCCATCTGTGCTCTCTGCATCTTTACAAGTTCTGTCTTCAGCCTGGGAGGGCTTGGTCCCTTCCTCCTGCAGAGGAAATCCAACTCCAGGAGTTGAGTGTCAAAGAAAAGAAAATGGGGAAAAGAACTTCAAATGGCTGATGTTTTCCCAATAATCCTATCCCATTGTGACTTAAGAGCATATTCACACAAAAGAACGCATAGGATAAAGCAAACTCAGAAAAGAGCCGATGAGAAACCCTAGAACCTCAGTACTGGGCCCCTCCTTCAGGACAGGGGTGTCTGAGGAACCCTTGTCTGCTGTTGCTTTCCCTCGACACTGTGCTCTGCTCTAAGAGTTGTAGGCTGCCCTTCTCCTAAATGAGGATGACAAAAAAGCCACCTTCTTTTGAGTCCTTATGAACAGAATCCAAAGAGACAGATATTTGGAGAAGGAGCCCCGTGCCTGTCGGAGTATAGAGAACCACTTGGTTCCCAGTGCTACACCCAGAGCATCCGTCAGAGCAATGCTTAGGGAGCTGAACAAATAAGGAGAGATCTAAACGTCTGCACTTGAACGGTACCAAATTCCACAAGGTGCTGTGTAGGAAAATGAAGCGAAGGCACTTGCCTGAAACAAAATGTCACAGTAACCTGCCTTCTCCACCTTAGACCTCACCTGCACCTTTCTCCTCTGCCTTCAGGACAGAGAAGGTCAGAAGGGAGTTCTCCTATAATCACTGTGTCCCCGAAAGGATACCCCCAGATGCAGGAGAACTATACCCATCTCTGCTGCCAAGAGAAGAGGCTGTGCTCAAGAGTGATGCAATCAGATTCAGCCGTCTAGCCTCAGAGCTGCGAAGTGGCCAAGGGAAGGTAGAACGTGTAATCTGGCTGCTAATCCATCAGTAAGCAGCAGATGAAAGACGAAGACAAGTGATTTAAAACCACACCTTGATCCCCTGGGTATGGCGGGGCAAATCTGGCTGGATTACCAGTAGGAGGAAAGAGGGTACATTTTCATGAGAATTAACTATGTTTTTTTTTTTTCTACAAACAGACAATGAGAAGGTTCTCATCTTACCTCATGGATCGCAGGGGTAAATATGGAGACAAACACTCATTTTCTTGGTCCCCAAGGAAGCAGCCAGGTGGCTGATGTGAGCCAGTCCACCTTGGAGTGGAGAGTTTGGATGTCCCAGCTGAAGGCACTCAGCGCCTTGGGTTTTTATGTCTGTGGGTCAGCTTAGACCGGCTCCTGACTCATCTATATGCACAGCTCTCAAAGAACACGGTTTACTTTATAACCGGATCCAACAAGGGGAGGCGTGGCGTTAAATGCGTGATAAACACCAAAGGTGTCGAGCTGCCAAGATAATTAAGAGAGCCTGGATTTTGGAGCCAGGGCTGGGAACAGAAGGGAGGCCTTCTTGGGTGACAGTGTCCATGTCACATGAGTGCATACACAAGGGGAAAGATGCTCTTAGGAGGGAATTTAGGGTCTGCAAGGAGCCCCTCCAGAGTGCCACCTGCCTGGTGACTCACTCAGCTGTCCTAGAAGGTTAGGTCAACCTGACCTCCCTCTTCATCACTGTAGTTATGTGCCAGTGTTGGCCTTTATTGCGCAGACTCTTGAGGAGCCAGGCAGGGTTGAGACCCTGATCCAGCAACCTCCACCTGAGGCAAGCTGCCTAGCTTCCTGCCTGCCCTCAGAAGCCTGGGCTGTGACGTGAGTGAGGTGATGTGGGAAATGCATTGGCGGAACTCTATCCCACCCTCTATGGCCACCTCTACATCAGATCCTGGGTCCCTTCTGAGTCGTGCCTCTAGGTGCCCCTTTAGGTTGCAGTGTCCTCACTCTCTGAACACACTTTACCACAAGTCCACCCCCAGAAGCATGGAAAAGTTGTCATTGTGCAGCAGAAAGAGTGACAGTCTAAACACAGTTTCGCCCTCCGGCAACACGGAGACAGCAGCCCCAACCCAGGAGTGGAAGCAATGGAACGAGCAGAAGGTCCAAGAAGCAGCTCCGGCTAGAGATGCTGTACATTGGTTCTGACACCCTAGCTACTGTATAGCCGTTTCTTCCACACTCCACCGGGTGGGTGGGTGGTGGTGCTGGCCTTTAATTCTAGTGCTGGGAAGGCAGAGGCAGGCAGATCTCAGTGAGTCGGAGTTCCAAGACAGTCAAGGCTACATAAAGAAACCCATTCTCCAGGATATACAGACAGACAGAGAGATAGATAAATGAAATATTCCACCAAGGAAGGGAATGGAGGCTCACAACGAGAAAACTATAAGACTCAAAAGGCCCCTCCTCAAAACTTTATAGACAGAAAACAACTGCTAGTGGAGAGGAGATTTTTTTTTTCATGAGCTGTCAATCATGCTGGAGCAGCATTTTGGTAATGCAGCTTCCTGAATCACCCACACTTCTTTAATTAGCTTCATCCAAGCCTCCTGTAACTAACCCCAGTGGCCCCATTGATTCGTCTAGTTAGATTTGGGTAAAACTGTTTCCTTTGTCTGTCATCAATGTCCCTTCAGTGCTGAACAGACCTTTGTCCTCTTACCCCAGGAAAAAAATCATGTAGAAATTGCTTTCTAGAGCACTCACACGTGGTGACGTTTGCAACAAGGATGGGATGGGAACTGCTGCAGAACTGCATGGGTGGAGGACACTAGCTGGGGGTTGTAGGAAAGGAAAAGGAATGGAGTGGCTTGCTGTGGTCTTACATGCTGAAATGGAATTGACCACATGATCGTCTTAAAAAGCAGAGCCTATCGAGGGTGGTTAGATCATGAGGGTAAAGCCCTCAAGGATGTGGTATCCTGGCCTTAGTAGAAGGGCTTGATGGAGTGGGAACATTCTCTTCTACTGTAGGACACAGCATCCATCTACGTCCTGCCCTTCTGCCTTCTACGCTGGGAAGACACGGTGTTGAAGGTGCCATCTTGAACAGGTGGACCAGGCGTTCGGAAGATGCAGAATCTACCCTTGCCCCAATCTTAGGGTTTTCAGCCTTTGGAATTATAGAAATGAATATATGTTGTCTGTGAATTACCCAATCTCATGTGTTTTGTTATAGACATCCAAGATGACCAAGACCCAGCTGTAAGTAAAATCACTTTTGGCAGCATTTCCCATGTCAAGTTCATAGGAGACTTTCCCCAGGGAGCAGTCATATAACACAGAGGAATACAAGAGCAGAGACTCAAAGCCCTTGCTGAGTGTAACCTTTCCTTCCATACAAGCTTCCCATGGACACTAATTCCAAGCTCCATGCCTGACCCTAGGTTCACTCCTTCTCCTCGCTTCATCCCTCAGTGTGTGGCTCTCTTATTTTTTCAGATATCCCCAACAATGGAATATTCCCAAAGCCCAGACTGACCCCCTAACCTAACCCCAAGCTGTCCTATTTCCTCCAGAGCAGTCTAACCTCCTCAAGTCTGGGAATAGGGTTCCCTGAGGACAACCCCTGAAGACTACCAAATGCAAGGAGAGCCAGGCTCAGGCCCACGCCATTGATGCAATATATCCAGCAGGATGCTAAAGAGAAACCTTCGTGGTCATATGAATCTTCTTCAGTCTCTATAGTGGTCTAAGATACATCCACCAACCTGCCTTTCCCCTCCTCTTCATTCACAGCCTTGTATCGGTCCTTGATTACTTCTGGCCTCCTCCCTGCTTTATCTCACCTGGGCATATCCCCTAATACATCCATCCCAGCACTAACTTCATCTTATGCTATGCTTCCTGGAGGACTCAAAAAGACACAGTGGGTTGTAGAGACAAGGTGGGAACCACCACAGAGCTGGACAAAAGACACTGGGGTCCCACAGAACACCCTAGGGAAGGAGCTCTCCCAAGCCATCGCCCCAGCAACACTTTCAAGGGCTCACATCTGCCTGCCCCTGTGAACTGTGGGTCTGCCTTTTCATCCTCCCAGATACCAGCAGAAGGCTGTGGCAAGACAAACAGGTCTACAAGCACTTAGAGCTCAAAGACAAACAGTGCTTATCGAATGTGAGGAATACACCCCAAAGAAGGGAAATCAATGTTTTCTTAACTGCCTCATTTATTTGCGAAGCAGATGCCTCTTGCACAACTGCTCCAGGCTGCCTGCCTCATTATTATGCTGACCAGCTAGTGACCTTAACCTTGTCCACCGCCCTCTTGTCCCCGACCTTCAAAACCGGGCCCCTTTGCACCTGCAGGGAATGAAAAAAAAAAAAAAAAGAAAGAAAGAAACACGTTGCTAAGCAACAGAGGAGAACGGGGCTGATTCATTCTCTCAATTCCACAAATCTGATGAGTCAGTGAAGCTGGCCGGCCGACCTGATGGATGCCACGTCTTCTGTGAAACCCATGTGGCTCTTTTGTTCAGCCTTCCTCCTACTCCACTGTTTGCTCCAACCCCCATCTGCTGTTTTACCTCCTTCTGCAGTTAGGGAAAGCAATCTAGGTCTCCCTTCCAATCCCGCCACTCCATCTCCTGTTCTCCCGTGTATCTATCTAAACATGCTGGCTTTGCTTACAGTGAAGGAAGTCTGATGCGTCACCTCACCCAAGGACCTGAATGCGACCGAAGTTAGTAAATTCAGAACATTTTAAAAATATTGTCCTATTGCCATTGAATATCCTGACAGAAGTTGTTTGGAGAACCCATTTTTAGGGGTGCCTATGTGCTTTAGCTTTGACAGTACATTCTACTCGTACAACAAAGGGAGACAGTGACAGATTTCCAGGGGCAAGACCCCTGGAGGTGGGAACAGGCAGAGAAAGCAGAAATGGTTTTGCAGAGATGGCTGGAAGAATAGGAAAGACATAGAAGACAGCCAATGTGACTTCCACTTGGTCAAAAAGAGGAAGGGAGGAGCTCACTGCCCTGTCCAAGGACTCTGCACATAGCATCATCGTTCATCTTTTGGGGACCCTTGACTTTGCCTAATCCATAAACAGAGAGGTACTTGCTTCTAGAAACATTCAGTTTGTGCATAAACTGAGATTCAAATGCAGGCCTACCAGTGGTGAGGAAGCACACTCAATAGCTGATTCGTGAATTATCTATGGAGCAGATAAAATGTCCCCCAGTGGGGGGATGGAGTCTTTGTCCCTCCAGTGATCTAATTCATCCAAAATCACTTGTAACTGTAGACTTTATGGCTCCAAAAATAATCTATGCAGAACCCTGAACCCACCTTTTGGGTAATCAGGGAAGAAATTTGGAAGGGTCTTAATATAAAAATATATTAGAGTATTGTTTTAAAGACAAATGGAGTAAAGAACCCCAAAGGTAAAAAGCAATGAGGAACCAGGAAAGAGAATACAGTAGTCAAGAGATGTTACAAGGTTTAAGAAGCTGGAAAACGCCGGGCAGTGGAGGCTCATGCCTTTAATCCCAGCACTCGGGAGGCAGAGGCAGGGAATCTCTGTGAGTTCAAGGCCAGCCTGGTCTACAGAGCAAGTTCCAGGACAGGCCCCAAAGCTACACAGAGAAATCCTGTCTTGAAAAACCAAAACTAAAACCAAAGAAAGAAAGAAAGAAAGAGAGAGAGAGAGAGAGAGAGAGAGAGAGAGAAAGAAAGAAAGAAAGAAAGAAAGAAAGAAAGAAAGAAAGAAAGAAAGAAAGAAAGAAAGAAAAAATGGAGTTGGAAAAGCCCAAGGCAGAGAAGCAAGAGAGTTTAGATCCCTCTGAACAGGGCTGATATTAGGGTCTATAAATAGGAATAGTGTTTGAAAGTCCTTATAGGGCTGGACATGGTGGCACACTCCTTTAATCCCAGTTCTTGGGAAGTAGAATGTGGTAGATCTCTATGAGTTCGAGGCCACCTTGATCTACATAGAAAGTTCCAAGAAAGCCACAGTTACTTAGAGAGATGCTACCAAGAAGAAGGAGAGGAAGTGGAAAAGAAAGAGGAGGAAGAAGAGAAGAAAGAGGAAGAGGAGAGAGGACTTAGAGGAAACAGATTTCCCAGCCCAGGATTTAAGGTTCATTCTAGAGAAAACTAGCAAGGGTGTGAACTTGGCTTCTTCAGTTACAGCTTAGGGTGGGCACAAGGCACGTTACAGTGTTGACTCAAATCTTTGTGCAAATCCAAACTGCCTAAAAAGAGGCCCACACCTCCTTCCCCTACTCTGGGCTCAAGTGCTGGATCTTGACCATTAATTAGCAGAAGTCCTAATAAGGAAGCTATGGGCTAAGGGAAAAAACACTGTCTAGACTGACATCTTGAGGCCATTCCATCGGCAGGATCAGACACAGCCTCTTCCTCACTGCTTCAATAAGTGCCATTCTCTTCAATGCTAGGCAGCCCAGGGTCAT